TTAAAATTAACTGTACTTCTTTTACATTTTTAATATGGCTGCTAGAACATTTAAGTACACTAGCAACTCGAACTGCTTTTCTATTGGACAGCACTGGTTTAGATGGTTAAGTTTATGGTTTTATCTCTCATCTGGACTCTGTCAATAAACTTTTTGGTCTCCCAACGCCTCGTTACTTCTGTCTGGCTGACCCATGGAACACTATTCCTGCTGGGATCCTGACACTCTTGTTGGAAAAGGCAGGCACACACCTTCAGTGGCCCTGGTTATCTGCAGAATCAGGTCCAGACTTTTCATAGTTACAGCCTTCACTTTTCCCACCACCCAGGAAATCTAGGTCAGGAAAGAAACTGATGATTCAAGGAGCAAGATGCTGTTTTTTTAAGGCTTAAATTCCTGTGCTACTGAGGCACAAGGAACAGGCAAGAAAGTGGACTCTTTATTGCCAGTGAGGATTAAGCAAAGCACAAACATTAAGAATATATATACAAACCTGCCCAGTGAGTGTTGTATACTTTGCTACCCCCTGTTCTAAACTGCAGGGCTCACTGCCTTTGTGCAATGTTGAACTAAGCTGAAACTTCTTCTTAAAGGAAGACCTACTTTTCTTCCCCCATAGGGCAAGAATTCCTACTTACGAGAAATAATGGCTTGGTGTATTTTAGATGCTGTTCTTGGCCACCCTGGGGGTGAGGGCAGAGATGGGACCCAGTGTGACAGCCTGCTGCCCACTGCCCCACCCTTGACAGGTATGTTGGCTTGACTCCAGGCTCAGAAGAAATGGACTGGCTTTCATAGGCAGTTGGTGTCTGCCAGGTTTTCCTCCTCTTTGTCTGTTCCTGCACAGTCACAACCCTGGAGTCCAGAGTGCCCCCATCCTCTCAGTCCTCTCTATGTCCGTGGGGATGCAGAGATATATAAGATCACATGAAAGGAGCATTACCCATCAGTGATGAGTGAGGGTTTTGGAGCAGGACTTACTGAATGGCAGAACTTGGAGGAGTGAGTTTAAAAATAAAGGAAAACTATCCAGTGAAAACACTGTGTGTGACTTCAGTTCCAAACAAGGTCATTAACATCAGGCAAGGCTTCCCTGACTTGTTTGCAGTTGGTGGAAGGTGATTTTGCTTCTACGACCTTACTCCTGCAGTCACACATTGGGTCCCTCAAACCCACTCTGGCCCTTTTTCTCTTTTCTGAGTGTGGGTGTGAACATTACATGATGTTTCCCCATCCCAGTGACTGTAGACAATCTCTATCCAGGAGGAAGTTCACATATGTCAATTTAGATACATGACCCCTCTTAAAGCTTTACTCACAACAGCCTTTGACATCTTTCCACCATCTGAGGAGAGGGCTGGCGTAAACGCTGGATGCTGGAAATGAATGGGAGAGACAGAACCTGGGCTCCAAAGGAGGCTTTGGGTTCAAGCCGTCCGGGGCCGGAGGACAGTGCCAGGCACCTGTGTCACTACATTTGGAAGAAGATGGTGGGAGACTGAGGAGCATGCCAATGAACGCCCCCCGCCCCCATGCTTCCAGGAAAACCAGTTCAGGGAGACCTTTCCCGTCTGTGTGGAGCCCGAGCTGCTTCTGGAAATATCTAAATTCCCTCTGTTGTTGTCAAAGCAATGAGCCCACCTTTGCCTTTTGGAAGCCAGTAGGGGGTCAGGAGGGGAGATACCTGCCCCCTCCACTGCACAACCCCCACCCCTCCATCTTCATGAGCCTCTTCATGCCAGGCAGCCTCCCAGACAGAAGAATGGCTGTGTTATCATGGCCTCTAACCTATAATGGTAGAGGCTCCTCTCCTCTCTGTTTTAATCCTCTCGCCCCTAACATGCAGCCTTAAGAGTCTCCCAGGGCAGGCACCGCCCTCAGTGCAGCAGTGAGAGAAGTCATCCTCTGTGCTTCATCACAAAGGTGGGCACAAACGGCGGGAAAACACGCAGTCTAGTGGAGTCACCAGAAGCTTCGGCAAAGAGGATGGTGCTGTTGCAGCTGTGGGCTTCGCAAGCAAGAAATACCTTTCCTCCTTCCGTGCCAGTGACCTTGGCCTCCAGCCTCACCACTGAGCGGAGAAGAAGCGGCTGGGAGAGGGCAGGGGGGGAAAGAATGGGTTGGCGGGCTGGTCTCCGAGAAGCGGGTGGACGCCTCCGTTGGGGGAAGACTGTCAGCGTGGGGGCCCTGGGATTCCACTCCAAGGGCCGAGGCGTCAGGGGCTGTGGAAGAAAGAGACCGTAAAGCAAGTCCAGGCTATGTGGCATTTAGTGTTTTATCATCATGTGGAAGCCAGGAGCCACTCCACCAGCATCGGGACAAACCACTTCCCCACCCTCTAGGAAGATCAAGCTCCTCTTGTTTTCCTGTCATCTTCCCAGTGAGGAAACATACACTACATCTGGGCTGAAAGTTCATAAACATAAGCCCATGGTTCTCCCAGCTCTGGATGGGTTTGTCTTGCCCTCACTGGTGAGCAGGACCCACTTACGCTTTGCCTGATACCAAATAGCTCTCCCCACCTGAGGAAGGTTTCCTTCATCTGTAGCAGAATGGCTCTCCGTGTAAACAAGTATTCCTCTCGTGGCAGTGAGTTTCATGTGTCTGTTTGACCTGGCTGTAATCCCCAGCTATTCAATGAACATGAATCTAAGAGTTGCTGTAAAGGTGTTGTGTAGATATGGTTATCATCCACAATCCGTTCACTTAATTTTTCTTCATTGAAGTAGAGTCAATTTGCAGTGTTGTGTTAATTTCTGGTGTACAGCATAGTGATCATTTATACACACATGTATGTCAGTTCTCTTAAAGTAAAGGAGAGTATCTTAAATAATCTGGTTTGGCCTAATCTAAACAGTCGAAAGTCCTTAAGAACAAGACTGAGGCTTCCCTGAAGAAGAAGAAATTTTGCCTCAAGACGGCAGCTTCAGTTCCTGCCCAAGAGTTTCCAGCCTGATGGCCCACCCTATAGACTTTGGGCTGTCCTCACAACTGCATAAGCCAATTCCTTGAAATAAATCTCTCTCTATATGTATGTTAATGTATTAATATTACATACAATCACTATATTGATTAATATATTAATATAATCTTTTATATGTGTTATACACACACACACACACACACAGAGGCAAGGAAACAGACCTCCTGAAGGTGAGGGTCGTGGTCCCTGTAAAGACTGCATTGGCACTGTTGTACGCCATGGTGTCTCTCCAGGTCCCCAGAGCACCACCCTGGGTAATCCCATAGGGCCAGACGAGGGAAGAAAGGGAAAGAAAGAGTCGCCCAGGATTCTGCTCCGCAGGGCCAGGTTCCAGTGAGGTGAAAGGCTGGAGGCTTCCCTGCAATCCAGGACCAGACTCTTACATTGCTCAGGGTAGAGCAGAGAAGTAAGAGCCAAACAAATACAGGGGAGACGAGCAGTGCTGTCTGAAGTGAGTTGCATCTGCTTAGAAGAGAATAAAATAAAAGTAGCAGAAGAACCCCTTTTCCCCCCACCAGCCCCAACCACAAATTCTGGTGAGTCTTGTGTTCCCTCCTGGGTTGGTCTCAGGTGGAACTAGAATAGTGCAGTGAAAACAGCATGGGTTTGCAGGCAGAGACCTAACTCTACATCCCACATTTCTAGCCATGCGACCTTAGTCACGGGACCACTTGGGGCATCTATTTCTTCACCTATAAGACAGGATCAAGGAAAATCTCCTAAGAATTTTTGTGAGCATTAAATTAACACAGCTGAAGCTCCACATATTGGGTCTAGCATATACTAGCCACTGCACAAGAATAGTTCTTCCCCCCTTTCATTTCTAATGTTCACTGCTTACCCCTCTGCCATTTAGGAGATGCAGGATTAGTCCCTAACAAGGTGAGGCCACACCTCATGTGGGTAGAGAATAAGGGTTATGCTCCTCTGGGCTGCAGTAACAAAGAACCTGCTGAAGGCAGCCATGGACCTGCCAGCTGGCCTCTCACCTTCTCATGCCCCTGGCTCTTTGATCAAGAAAAAGCCCATTTGAGCTGCTGGCTAAGATGGTCCTCCATGCCTCAGCCAGGCAGCCCATCCAGGAGGGGCAACAAGCAGATGCACTTCTTCCCCGAGTCGTTGTGGCAGATGACATACTCAAAGCCGAGTCTCTCCATCTCTGTGATCTGGAGAAAGAGACAGGCATCTTCTGCCTTTTGGACTAGAGACAAGAGCTGAGTCGGTGAGAAAGACCTTGGGGCGGGGCAGGGCGGGGCAGGTCTCCAGGGCTGAAAGCACCTGTCCAGAGGAGGTCCTCAGGAAAACCCATTGCCCTCAGCTTCCTATCTGTGCCACCCGGAATTGCCCCATAAACCTCTGAAGGGGAAGAGCAGCTTCCAATAAGGGGGTGGGATCCGCAGTGGGAGGGACGGCGAAGAGGAGTAAACCACCGTGAATTCAGGGTTCCCCTGTCCTATCGACTGAATCACAAATACTAATCTGACCGTGGCAGATTGAGGAATTAGCAGGCAAAAATCCTTTCTGTAAAATAAGTAGGTATGTCCCCTCTCACTCCCAGAGGTCTGAGATTTAAGGGAGATCATCTGTACGGTATGACCTCCAAGGGAAATGCAGAGAGTTTAGAGGCCCTATTTAGAGTTCAAGGGTGAAGCTTCCAATACATAAAATCCAAATACTCATCAAACACCTGAATTTTGCCAAGAATTTCAAAGCAGAATTTTGAATGACAGCTTCGGTATATAATATTAGAAGACTTTTGGCTGGCTCCTCCTGTCTCTCCAATGCAGGACTCATCAACCTTCGTTTTCCATCCAATGTCCTTCTCCCATTCACGAGCTCAGCTCAAACTGACCACTAGAGGGCGCACAAGTCCAGTCCCCAGCAGGTTTTGGCTCCTGGCCTCAGAGGTCAGTGAGGTACTGGACTGCTGCCCATTGGCGACCAGCCTTGGGTTTACCCCGGGTGAGGGCACTGATCCTTAACCTCAGGCACTGCCCCTTCCCAATTCCTCACTCACACTCCACCTGTCTGGTCTACAGAAGATGGTGGGGCTGGCAGGTGGAAGGAGAGGCCAGGCAGGGGTGAAGACTGCAGACAGGGGTGGAGAGAGGGGCTGACCCAGGAGTCAGGAATTCCTGATTGTAGTCCAGGATCTGCCAAACACTCACTTTGTCACCTCTCCAGGCCTCAGTTTTCTCACCTGTAAAATGAGCGGGTTGAACGAGGGGGCCTCCATGTTCCTTTTCTGGCTGAATATCATGAGTCTAGGTCACAATGTCCAGATTGCCTCGTACCTGACTCTCAGGATAATGCTAGCCGCCCGGGGCTGGGCCCAGAGGTCCTGGAGGAGAGTGCACACACAAAGCACAGATTTGCCAACAACTCTGCATCATCATCCAGAGACCGGCCACAGCTCCGGTTAAGCTCTCCTGAGTTAGGGGTGTGAACTTACCAGGGACAGCTTTAGCGATCCTAGCAAATTCTGCCTCTTTAAGGAACTGCATAGAGCACCAACACCCTGGAAGTCATGTCCACGTCCCATCCACAGTCTTCTCCATGAGTTCATTACACAGCCCCACCACAAGGAGGCTCCAGCTGGCACTGGGGAGGGAATAATCCTTCGTATCAGAATGCAGGTGGCTACTTGAGACCTGAAAAGTCCAAAAGAGGTAGCAAACTCTGCCTGGTCCCATTCCAGTGTGACTCATTCATTCCTGTGTGTATTTAATAGATGGGCCAGTTCTCACCAAGCAGAGTGTGCACAGACACCCAGAGATGGGAGAGAGCATGTCAGGTTCCCAAAACTATACAAGTAGAAGCATCTAGTAGTAGGGAAAGGGGGCAAAGAAGGAGGTCAGAAGGAAAGATTGGCACCTGAGCTGTCATGCTGAAGAATCTGAGATTTATTCAGAAGGGTTACAAGCAGAAGAATGAAATGGTCAGATGTGCACTTTAGAAGGATCTCTACTTGCACATGGGAGCTTGGAGCCTCGATAACGTTAGAACCCTGGCTGGTGAACAATTCAAAGACCCAGTCTTTTCCCGGCCTTTTCCCTCTCCTGCTCCTCCAAGTCCTCCAGGCTCTTCTCCCAAGACAATTGACTCTCTGGTTTATTGCGCCTCTTTACCGTCCCATTACACCTGGAGGCTTAGCCAGAGATCCCTTTTCTGGCAGACAGAGGAGAGGACCAGTCTAGGTGTCCAGTCCTCCTCCCAGGAATTTTGGATAATCCATCATACGGCAACATCTTCTCGTACCTTCTGCCTGGTTATTGTTCGTATTCGCCGGTGCCAGTCGGTCCTTCCTGCTCTGTTTTTTGGCTGATTTATCGGCTTACTCACGGTTCCCTGTATATGCTCTTCCTTACCTACACAGATGGAGAAAACAGAGATTCCTGTTTGTGGATAGAGGGGCTCTGAAGCAGGGGAAAGTCTAACACCCAGGAATGGTCCTTAATCCTTACTGCCCTCCTGCAGGGAGCTATTTTGCCAGCTGGCAGAGGATAGAGTGGCGTTTGAATTCAGCCTCCGTAACTTCTTCCCATTAATACACTGTACATGATGCTACTTGTCCCTTAACTGCTCTGAGCATCCGTTTTCAAATCTGTAAAATGAGAATACCACCACCTTCCCTGTAGGTTGCTGTGGGGACTGCCTGAGCTCATGATACAGGAATGTACCTGGCTCAGAACCTGGCCCAGAACAAGCACTCCGAGATGTTAGCTTCATCTGAATCCAACAGGAAAAGTCTCCCCTTCTCTAGTTTCATCCCAAAGAATCCTTTTTCTAGTGTTGTTCATAGGACACCAAGCGTGGACTCAAATATTTTTGTAATGAATTTACCCATCTGAAGGATGACGTCCGATTGATGCTACTTTTCAGCACTTAATTTGCACACAATTCATTTTTAATTATGCCTTCTTTTTTTTCTTTGGTCCAGAAAATGCCTTATTAAAATGTAATTGCTACTTTCCCTTGAGTTGCCCCTAATCGGATTCTCTTTCCCTCATTCTGCTCACTCTGGGGATCAGCAACCCCACTTTCCCATATGGGAAATGTTCAGCAGGATCAGTAAGACTGGAGGGGCCTCCAGATGTTATCTCTAAGCCCCCAGTTTGAGGACCCACCCATCAATATAGGATGAAATGGCCAAGTGGAATGAGCATCTTCTAAGAATCAGGAGTCCTGGCTCTAAGGCTCTGTTCTACCAGCTAGCTGCTCTGGCCTTGGGCAAGCTGCTTGTATCTCCCAGCTTCAGTTTCCTCATCTGTCAAAGGAGACAGAAGACTAAGTGATGTCTAGGGTCCCTTCCAACTCTCTCAGTCTGGGACCCTCGGACCACACTCACAGCTGCCCGGCATCTGTAAGCCAGGTAGGTACTCGCTTTGATGGGTGAGGCTGGCATCCAGGCTGACCTGAACAACTGGGGGTGCCAGCCAGCACTAGGAGAAGGGGTGCTGCCTGTCGGTGCCTCACCAGCCCCTGGAGACCTCTCTGTAGCACGATGTCCAGCTGAGGTTTGCCATCTGACCCTCCTTCCTCCTAGTAGATCTGCACTGGCTTGAGGCTTGGACTCAGCCAATGAGCACCTGTGTGGGTCCCCTGAGGGGCAGAGAGAGGATGCAGCAAAATCCACCTCCCTCCCCTCCTCGCCAGGCAAAGCAGCGAGGAGCAGAAGTAGAAGGGACATTAGGCAATTGCAAGTTAGTAAATCACACATGCATTTGATTTGGGGAGCTGTCAGATGCATTTTCGGTTGTGTGAACCAGGTGCCTGGAACAACAGAATCGATCTCAGAATGCTCTGCAGGCCAGGGTCACCGAGGTGACGAACAACGTCCGGGAACCAGAGTGGATAACCTCCGTCTCTGTGTGTGAGGACCAACGGCCCCGATACCTCACCCTAGTTCTTAACTCTGTCTTGTTTCAGGTGTCAGTTCATTTATTCATCCAACAAACATTAATTAAGTACATGCTATGTGCCAGGGACTGTTCCAGGCTTGGAGATGCAGCAGTGTATGAAGTAGATGCAGACGATGACATCCTTGCAGGTAAAAACCGGGAATATGAATTGTGCTTTCTATACACAAGCACAGTTCTAAGTGTTTCTCTGTTATCTCTTTTAATACTTACGTTATCTCATATACACTCCAAATTCCAATTTCACCACTTGTCTCCAAACCGTCCTTCATAACATTTCCCACCCCTCCTCAATCCAGAATCCAATTTAGGATCATATATTTCAGTTAATTGTCATGTCTCTTGAGTTTCCCTTCATCTGGAATCATTTTTCAGCCTTTCCTAGATAGTTACATAACTTTTTCTTCTTTTTTGTATTCTTTTCCATTATAGGTTATTAACAAGCTATTGAATATAGTTCCCTGTGCTATATAGTAGGGCCTTGTTGTTTATCTGTTTTATGTATAGTAGTATATATCTGCTAGTCTCAAACTCCTAATTTATCCCTCCCCTTTCCCCTTTGGTAACCATAAAGTTGTTTTCTATGGACAAACACATTCTTAACATACCACCCACATACACCCAGATACCTACAGGAATGAGCCTTAATCCTTTCTATCCTGCTGTAGGCGACTCTTGTTACCGCCAGCCAGTGAATGGCAGGTGGCGTCAGAACACAGACTCATAGTCCCGTATGAATCAGAGGCAATGCATTATCACCACCTGCATCCTACATGTCGGGGAACTGAAGCACAAAACACTGAAAGTGAGTTGCCCAAAGCTACACAGCTGAAGTGCAAGGCTGTATGCTGTGTATTTTTATTACAGTGATGATAATTAGCCTTTTATGTGTACAAAGAGGTTTACGGGTTACAGATGGGACACCAGGCAATTCTATGGAGCAGAGAAGACAGATAGCATCATCAAGACCATCTTCAACCTTACCTTACACATGGCCGCCTTGACTCTTTAGGCTGGCCTGTGAGTGAGGAGCAGACTCCAGGACATTCTGAGATGGCCCTCACAGTGTCCCCCTCAGGAAAGGTGGGCGTAGTCCAAGATCCAGAGGTATATTCCACTTCACAAGTGCTGGTTGCTCCAAATGGTCTTTGCTAGGTGGGAGAGAGGAAAGTCCTGGCAGGCAGCAGTCCAGCAACAGGTAGAGGAGACTCTTCCCCAATTCACACACTGCCCGTAGGGATAGTTCACCTTGGTGGTGCCTCTGTGATGGCCCCTCTTGAGGGGCTGGCTGAACTCAGAGTCGTGTCCTGCAGGACCCAGCCTAATCCAGCCTCGGGGAAGCCCAGCCGAGGAGCACAGGGCATGTGTGAGAAGACAGGAGACTTGCTGGCCAGTACAGAAGTCACGGTGGAACTCACGTAGCTTTGGAGACACCATGCTCTGGGATTCTAACACGGCAGCCTCTTAGGTTAACAATAATCATCCTGAAGGACTCTTTGAAGATTAATGATAAAACACTGGTGAAGTGCCCGGCTTAGAATAAACAGGTGCCTAAAAATGTTGAATGTTCCTCTGCTCCCTTCCCCACACCCCTCCTGACCTCCTTATTTCAACTCAGCAAGTATTGAGGGCATCACTGTGCCAGTGTGAAAAATATAGATGGCTGAAACAAGTTAGAAAATTGGAAAAGCACATTGAAGAGCTCTTTAATAAAAAAAAAAAAACCAGAAAATATAAAATAAAGCTACAAGATACGGATAAGAAAAGTAAAAGTACTAACCCTCAGGTAACTAGAGTTCAGGGGGAAAAAAGACCATATACACACACAAATTGAGAAGAATCATTTGCATAAATTGTGGAGACCAATCTCCTAGGATTCAAGGGAGGCCAGAATGGCTGGAACAGCATGAGTGAATGAACCACCTCCCTACAGTGCAGGGGCTGCTTACAGACACCTACGGCAATGCGCACAGGGACATAATTGTGATATTGTGGACATGGGGTTCCACGCAGTGGGGTGCAGAGTGATCATCTCTCTTCTGTCTACCTGCCAAGCTCAGGAGATCTGCACTGGCTAGAAGCTGTGCAGGCTCCTTGCATTGGGTGAGGCACACGTGGCTGTCGAGAAGTGATAGGTGACCCCAGGGGGGCCAGGTACCAGTCAGTGTTGCCGCATGGATGCCCAAGGGCTGCACCTTGGAAGCTGAGGTGGCAGCTGTGAGCCGGTGTGCAAGGAGCTGCCGGCACCCTGGGAAGAGATCTCCAGAGCCTGAAAATTGTTTCAAGAAATACACCAATCAGATTCTGAAGGACAGGAATCTTCAAAAGATCTGAGAAATCAGCTTGGACATTAAGAATCAGAATCTTCTTTTTTTTTTAATAGAAGTTCCCTTTTTTTTTTGATGGTTTTATTTATTGTTATTATTATTTTCCCCTTAACAGAGGCGCTGGGGATTGAACCCAGGGCCTTGTGGATGCCAAGTATGCACTCTACCCACCCCAGGAATCAGAACTTCATTTCTAAATACACTTACTGGCATCAATATAAGAAATTACTCCAAGAAAATACAGGCTTAAGCACTGAGATGACAGAAGAGATTTCAATGAAAGTTCTATAAAGAACTCTACAAATTATCAGGAAATTGCCACCTGGCTACATTTCAGCTGGAATTTTAGATTCTGGACATTAAGAATGAGGAGAGCTTGTCTTTTGTTAATAGCAACCTCAACATAATAATGGAGCTCACAGAATATTCAGAATGAAGTATCAGAATTTGTGGCTAGAGCAGAAGAAAGCTTCATGTTTTTTTGGAAGCTTACACTTTTTTGAGGAGTGGTGTCAATATCGTAAGCACATATTTAAACATTTCAAGATAAAGCTGTTGGAAGCGTTCCGAGATGATCAGATTGTCCTCCAGGCGTATTTCTTCTTCACAGTTGGTATAGCATGTGTCAGTTCTGCAGAATGTATCATCTGAATTAAAGCTGTGCTGTTAAATTGTCAAAGGAAAGAAAAAAATGTTCTGAAATCTGACATTAATCTTTTGCATGCTATGTAATGGAATCCAACAGAACATTTCATTTAAAAATAATTTTTAGAATTTATACATACTATTTATCTTCATGGTAACAAAACTTCCTGTGCAAAAAGAAAAAAAAAGCCTCAATTAAATTTTACAAGAGAGAAACTTTAAATATAGGAAGATAGTTGGTTTAAAGTAAAAGAAGATAGAGAAACACAGACATCAGTCAAGAGAAAGCTGATGTGGCTGTGTAATGCCAGTCATAGCAGACCCGAAGACAAAAAGTATTACTGGGGGAAAAAAGACATTTCATATTGACAAAAGAGTCGATTCAATAGAAAGGCATACAATCCTGTATTTGTATGCACCTAATTACACAGCTTTAAGATACAGGCAGCAAAAATTAACAGAATTAAAATGAAAAATAGACAAAATCAGTCACAATTAGAGATTTTAATATACCTCTCTGAGTCACTCAGAATAAGCAAACAGAAAAAATCAGCAAGAATATGGAATATTCGAACAATCTGATTAACCATCTACAGCCAACAACTGCACAATATATGCATTCTTTTCATGGATATGTGGTACATCTACCATCGTAAACCATATGCTGGGTCATAAAACAATTCTCAATACATGTCAAAAACTGAACACATATGTGTGTTCTCTGAGAACAGTGGAGGCAAACTAGAAATTAAAAGATAAAGATAACTAGAAATCCCCAAATGTTTGGAAAATTTTAAATAATTTCTAAAACAACTCCTGATTCAAAGATGAGTTCACAATAGAAATAATTTAATTGAAAACTAGTGAACATGTATTACATCAACATGTATGGGATGCAGTCAGAGCAGTGCTGAGAGGGAGTTTTGAAGCTTTAAAGACATGTTTCAGGAATGGGCAAAGGTTGTCAATCAAGAATCTAAGATTCCATTTTTAAGAAGCTAGAATAAAACAGTAAATTAAACCCAAAGAAAGCAGGTAAGATAAAGATCAGGGCAGAAATCAATGAAAAGACATAAGCAGAGAATCAATAAAGCCAAAAGCTTGTTGTTTGAAAAGATTAGGAAAACTGATAAACCCCGTAAGACTGATCAAGGAAAAATAAAGAGAAAATACAAATTACCAATATCAAGTATGAAAAGAGACATTACTTCAGAGCCTCATGATATAAAAAAGACTATAAAGTAGCAGATTAGCACAAGGAAATATATTCAATATCTTGTAATAAACTATAATGGAAAAAGAACAGGAAATAAAAGACTATAAAAAGATATTAGAAACAACTTTATTCTAATACGCGTGACAATTTAGATAAAATGGGAAAATCCTTAAAAATCACAACTTTCCAAAACAGAGACAAGCAAAAATAAAAAACTCTGAATAATTTCTGTCTGCCAAAGAAATTGAATAAATAATTTGAAATCTTCCTGTAGAGAAACCTAGATGAATTATAATGAATTGATAATGAATTTTATCAAGCATTTGAGGAAGAAATAACACCCAATATTTTACACAAACTCTTTCAGAGATTAGTATAAAAAGTAGTTGAAAAAGGGGTACTTCTCAACATGTTTTTGGAGACCAAACCTGGCCAGGACATTATAAGAAAGGAAAATTACAGGACAATATCTCTCATGAACACAGATATGAAAATTTTAAGAGAATTCAATTATTTTTTAAAATGATCATGACCACGAGGAAAATACAGGTTGATTTAAAATAAGAAAACCAAACAATGGAGTTCACCAAATTAACAGAAAAATGGAGGAAAACTTCATGATCACCTCAGTAGATAAGGAAAAAACATTTGATAAAGCTTAAACTGGTATATGATAAAGACACCACAAACTAAGGGGAAAAAAGTCCCTATAGTTAAGGTTACAATGAATAGTGAAATATATACACTCTTTTCAGAAAATAGTAAAAGTCTTTGAGAGTTGAGAAGATTAACTTGCAAGAGTAAGTATTCATTTAACATCATGAAATAGGTCTTGTATCTGTGACACAAAAAATACTGTAAACCATATCAGTAAACAAAGAATGCTGTAACCAAGTCATCAGCGGCTCCTGCCACCCTCCCAGGGAAGACAAGCCTGCAGCCACAATGGTGCACTCTGAGAGGACTCAGAATAATAAAGGACAAGATAATGGCCCTAGATAGCTAGATGCTTGTCAAAGGAATGAATTCAATGAGCCCAAATGTTTGCTTCCTCCCAAATATAGAAAAGTACTAAATTCTTTAACTTGAGATGCCTGGTTTTCTTCAGATAACAAGTAATCTTTTATTGTTTGAACTACCTGGTCTTTGCTGTAAAGCTCCTATATGTCCTAGCTCCTCCCTTACCTCTTCAAGCAGTCCCTCAGAGTGATCTGAGAGGCTGTCATCCCAGCTGGAGTCCTCCCACCAAATAAAACATAACTCTTAACTTGTAGGCTGTGCATTTATTTCAGTCAACATGTCTAGAACTGAATTTCTAAGAGTATCATTCATGTAGCCTCAGACTCCAATGTGAATCATTTTTGTCTCCCGGAGGAGGTCTGGTGACGGAGGCAGTGGCCTGCTTTAAGGCATCATCCTCACAAAATGTAGTCCACACTGGAGGAACGGGAGAAGTGCTGGGAGGAAGATGACCTCTCCCAGGCCTCCCCAGAGATTTTTCTCCCTGTGTAGATGATGTGGCTGCGAATTTTCTGAAAGATTTCTGAGAGGTGCTTCTTGAACTTCTCACCCATGAAAGCATAGATAATAGGGTTGACACAGCAGTGGGTGAAGGAAATGGTTTCTGTGACGTGGGTGGCATAAATCAGCCGCTGGCTCATGACACATCCATCCAAGATGCGCATGCTGTGCAGGGAAGAAAGGAAGAGGACCGCATTGAAGGGGACCCAGAAGAGCAAAGAGGCCACCACCACGATGAGCACGAGCTGGACGGCCTTGGTCTTGTGGTGGTTCTGACACCTCTTCAGCTGGTACAGGATGCTAATGTAGCAGAACAGAAGGATGGTGAACGGGATCAACAGGCCTAAGATGTTCATTTCAAAGTGGATGAAGAGCTTCCACTTCGAAGTCTGTTGATCATAAAAGGAGTAACACTGTAGAGTGCCATCTTCAGAGGCCACTTGGTAAAATACTAGGAGTGGGCTGGTAGCCAAGAGAGCAGTCAGCCACACTGCCAGACTCAGGGCTGTGCCTATCCTGGCTGTCCTCACCTTTATGGCATGTACGGCGTGGACCACAGCCAGGTACCTGTCCACACTCATGAGGGTGATGAAGAACATGCTGCTGAAGAAGCCGATGTAGTAAAAGCCAGAGACCACCTTGCACATCACAGTCCCAAACACCCACTGGTCTAGCTGATAGTGCGTCTGAAACGGGAAGGAGAAGACAAAAAGCAAGTCGGACAGGGCCAGGTTCAAGAGGTACACATCCGTGATGCTCCTTAGCTTCTTGCAGGCGACAAGGACCAGGATGACCAGGCTGTTTCCCAGAAGACCGAATACAAACAGGAGACAGTAGAAGACGGCCAGAAGCAACTTGCTGTCTCTCTGGGTAAGTTCCCCATCGCAGGGGCTTGAGATGATGTCAGGATAGTAGTAGTCAGTTACTGTTGTCACGTTGGGCTCCAGTGTAGAATCCATCCAAGCAGAAGGGTCTGGTCACAAAGGTACCTAAGAGAGATTCATTTCTTCAAAATATTTTTATTTAAAAATATGGACTGAGGGGGAGAGAAACAGCTCAGTGGTAGAGACCATGCTAAGCATGCATGAGGTCCTGGGTTCAACCCTTAGTACCACCATTTAAAATATATATATGTATATATATATATATATATATATATATATATATATAATATATATAAATAAATAAATAAATAAATAAATAAATAAATAAATATGAACGGAATTGGGCCCCCCACTCCAAACCCCTGTTATGGACTAAATGTTTGTGTCCTAAAACTTGTCAGTTGAAACCCTACCCCTGCCCACTGTGATGGTATTAGGAGGTGGGAACTGACTGGATTAGATGAGGTCATGAGGATGGAGCTCTCATGAATGGAGTGAGTGCCCTTGTGAGAATCAAAAGAGAGCTTGCTTCCTCTCTCTGTTTTAACGTTTGTGAGGATACAGTGAGAAGTCAGCAGTTTGCAACCTGAAAGAGGGCTCACACCGGAGCCTGACTGTGCTGGCACCGTGATCTTGGACCTCCCAGTCTGCAGAACAGTGAGAAATAAATTTTTGTTGTGTATCAGTCACCCAGTCCATGGTATTCTGTTATAGGAACCCAAATTGACCAAGAAACCCCCAATGTCACTATATTTGGAGACGGGCCATTAAGGAGGTAATTTCGGTTAAATGAGATCATTGGGTGGGGCCCTCATCCAATCAGACTGGTGTCCTTGTAGGAAAAGGACAAAATAAGAAGGTGGCCCAAGGGTCTTAACAGGAATCCAATTTATCAGCACCTTGCTCTTGGACTTCTAGCCTCTGAAACAGGGAGAAAATAAATTTCTGTCATTTAAGCCACCTAGCCTGTGGCATTTTGTTATGACAGCCCACACAGGCTGATACAGGCTATATGGGACCTCTGTGACTTTTCTACCCAAATTTTCTGTGACTCTAATGCTTCTCTAAAAAGTAAAGTCTAACATGGATCAAGAGAATAGAATAGAGAGCCCAGAAATAAACCTGCAAACTTTTGGTCAATTAATCTTTGACAAAGGAGGCAAGAACATACAATGGAGTAAAGACAGCCTCTTCAGCAAATGGTGTTGGGAAAACGGGACAGCTATATGTAAATCAATGAAGTCAGAACACTCCCCCACACAATACACAAAAATAAACTCAAAAAGGCTTAAAGACTTAAAACATAAGACAAGACATGATAAACCTCTTAGAAGAAAACATAGGCAAAACATTCTCTGACATAAATCTCAGCCATGTTCTCCTAGGGCAGTCTACCCAGGCAATAGAAATAAAAGCAAAAATTAACAAATAGGACCTAATTAAACTTATAAGCTTTGGCACAGCAAATGAAACCATAAGCAAAACAAAAAGACAACCTAAAGAATGGAAGAAAATATTTGCAAAAGATGAGACTGGCAAAGGCTTAATTTCCAGATTATATAAACAGCTCATACAGCTTAATCAGGAAAAAACAAACAGTCCTATCCAAAAATGGGCAGAAGACCTAAAAAAGCAATTCTCCAATGAAGACATACAAATGGCCAATAGGCACATGAAAAAATGCTCAATGTCGCTAATTATCAGAGAAATGCAAACCAAAACTACAATGAGGTATCCCCTCATACCAGTCAGAATGGCCATTACAAAGTCCACGAACGATAAATGCTGGACAGGCTGTGGAGAAAAGGGAACCCTCCTACACTGTTGGCAGAGATGTAGTTTGGTGCAGCTGCTATGGAAAACAGTATGGAGATTCCTCAAAAAAGTAAAAACAGACTTAACCATATGATCCAGGAATCCCGCTCCTGGGCATATATCTGGAGGGAACTCTAATTCTAAAAGATACATGCATCTGAGAGTTCACAGCAGCACTACTTACAATAGCCTAGACATGAAGCAACCTAAATGTACATCAACAGATGACTGGATAAAGAAGCTGTGGTATATTTATACAATGGAATACTACTCAGCCATAAAAAAGAATACAATAATGCCATATTCAGCAACATGGATAGACCTGGAGATTGTCATTCTAAGTGAAGTAAGTCAGAAAGAGAAAAAAAAATACCATATGATAGCACTTATATGTGGAACCTAAAAAACACTGACACAAATGAACTTATTTACAAAACAGAAACAGACTCACAGACATAGAAAACAAACTTGTGGTTACCAGGGGGTAAGCGGGTGGGAAGGGATAAATTGGGAGTTTGAGATTTGCAGATACTGACTACTATATATAAAATAGACAAGCAAGTTTATACTGTATAGCACAGGGAACTGTATTCAATATCTTATAGTAACTTACGGTGAAAAGGAATATGAAAACGAATATATGTATGTTCATGTATGACTGAAGCATTCTGCTGTACACCAGAAATTGACACAACATTGTGAACTGACTATATTTCAAATTAAAAGAAGTCATTCATTATTTCATTGTTAAGAGTACCCCCTGGTGTGATTTGTACAATCATGTTTATGAGAAATTTAGGCACTATTTTTTTTTTAATTTTTAAAAATACTTATTGAATACTGTTCTTTTTTACTGAAGTATAGTTATTTACAATATTATATTATTTTCAGTTTTACAGATAAATGATTCAGCATTTTTTGCGGATTACACTCCACTGTAAGTTAATACAAGATGACAGCTGTAGTTTCCTGTGCTATACAGTATATTCTTGTTGCTTATCTATTTTAGACACAGTTTTTAACATCTCATTGTGCTATTAGATAGGCCTTCTTTTTATACTATATTGACTTGGTCAGTATGCTGTGTAACTACCTAGAAATATGAATTTAATTTTTTTCCTTGCCCTTATTCATGATTATATCTGGAATCAGCTGTTAGCTTGAAAGTAGAATTTGAGAATACTAATACTCCTTCAGTTCAAGTTGATGACCAATAACATACCCTTTGGTAAACATGAAATTATACACTGAGATAAAATTATACAGGATAATCAAATTCTTTGGTGGTAATAACTTTGTTAAGTGGCAAACTGCTGTGAACAGTTTCTTTTTGGTAAACTCATGGGCATTTTAATGATTCAACGTGAGAATTCAGACATTAAAAAAAAATAAATAAAGTCTATTAGCTTTTTTTTTAAGTTAAAAACTGCTCAGGCTAACACCGAGTGGTTGGGTTGGATAAGAAAAGACAAAATTTGCAAAGAAAACTTAAACACCTATAGTTCCACCTCCCAGAATTAGCAACTGCTGCCATATTGACATGTTTGCTTTTGGTTCTTTTTCTTTCCCATTCCTTCCTCTCTTCCTGCCTCCCTCCCTCCCTTCCTCCTTCCTTCCTTCTGCAATAGAGATAAAGTGGAAGTTCCCTTGAACGACACAATTTATCCCCACACCCCAGGGAATTCTGTAGTTTAGCAATTACAACCCACTTGGTAAGTATCATTCCAAATGGTTTCCCCCTTTACCTCTGCTCATTTACGTGTCTCCAGAAACAATATATAATACTGTTTTGTGTTCGCTTTTAACTTACATAAATGGCCTAATATCACATCTCTCATTTTATATCTTGCTTTTGTTCTCCCAGCCTGCTGCTTCAGAGATAGAGTCACACAATACTAAAAAGTTGAGTTCAGTCCTTTAACTGCTATCATAAGCTCCATAAATACCTAATTTAAACACGCAACAGAAAACATGGTTCCATTTCATACAAGCAACAAAAATTACTAAATTCCTAGGAATAAGCCCGATAAAAACAGCAGTTCAATTATGCAAAATATTATAAAAACTTTGTTAGAGGACATAAAGGAAGACACAACTAAAATGAATATATATTATATTTATGGAAAGGAAGACTCAACATTTAAAACAGAATCTCTTGCCTCAAACTGATAAACACATAGTCAAGGCAATTTCAGTCTAGACTTCTTATTTTTCCAAGGCATTGGACTGTTGAATATTCAGACATCTCTATCCACTATGCCACCATTCTATAATTTAAAATGCCAAGCAAGTTAGCCATTTTTTATTCATTAATTTAATTTATTTATTTAATGGAGGTACTGGGGAATAAACCCAGGACCTTGTGCATGCTAAGTACGTGCTCTACCACTTGAGCTACACCCTCCCCACTAGGTTATATATTTAACCTTTTTTTTTTCTTAATGGAGATACTGGGGATTGAACCCAGGAACCCATACTAAGCATGCACTCTACCACCGAGCTATACCCCTCCACCAAGTTAGCCCTTTTCAAATACATTAATTTCATTTAAATATGTACTTAAAGTAGGTTTTTAAAACCAGTTTCTGAAGTATGGAGGTGGGCCTTTTATTTTTTTTTTTGTGGCCAGCATCTTTCAAAACAAGTCTCCCCCTCCTACATCTTCCTTCCTACTTGTCTTTTACAGTTATTTTTTAAAACAAGTTTCAGCTCAACTTTCTTCTGCCCTGCTCTCCTAATATCCTGGAATAAGCGGAGGTCTTCAACTCATTCTCTTCCCCAAATCCTTCTTACAGACCCCCGATCCACACGTCCCCTGTCCTCTTTTATCATTACAATCTGTGGACAGTATTAACAATCACTCCCACTTATTACAAGTAGACCAGGAATTTTAGACGCATCATCTCATTTATTCCTCTTGAATCCCTGTGAAGCAGGCGGTAATATTTCCTATTTCTGGAGTTGCAATTATACCTGAATCTCAGCTTCTGTCCAGTGCCTAAAATTACACAGAAAGTGAGGCAACAGAGCTAGCACATGACAAACACATCTGTTATTCCAAATCCTTGTTCTTTTCTATATTTGTTTTGTGGGGAAAACAAAACAAAACAAAACCAAAAAAAATAAAACCCCAAACAAAATAACCCACAAAGAAAAGCTCCAATCTTCTGGAAACTAGACCACCGACTTCCAAGTTCTAGATTACTTTATAGCAGAGTAAACCTGGGCTGGGTTTTCAAACTGAGTTTCAGGCTCTCCTCCTATGAAAGGGGACTTAAAAATGCTTTTCAGGCTTTGGTGGCACATGCCTGGGATCATTTAAGTTAGCATCTAGTCAGGGCTAAACATGTGCTTGCCAGCTTTGTTCCTTGAGAACAATAGCCAAGTGTCTTCCCGTGATCTCCGAGAAGCACAGAGACAGATTCCCCACAGATGCCTGGTGACGGGAGAGATCTTTTCTGATCTACCTTCCCACTCTTGGAGGAGCTTTGACACCCTCCTAGCATCCACCAGGGAGAATGGCATGGCTTGCTTTTCTCTGCCAGAGCCAGGGGCAGCCACTAAGACATAGACAGGGTTTGCAGACTCTGGGGGTATCCAAAGGAAAAAAGTCACCTCTTGTGCCAGACTTCCGAAATACTGGCTTTCCCTTTGCCTCTCCTCCAAGGACATAAAAGTGTCCCTGCTTCTTATGTCCTTCTTCCCCAAGGATGTTTATGAATACATACCTTAATGAGAGCCTTCCTTCTGGAGGTTTTCAGTGTTGCTAACTCAGGTCTTCTGAAGCACAGCCCAGGGTTCTGGTCACGTGATGCTGTATTTTTTAAATTCTCATATGACAATATTACAGAGTTGTAGATAAAAACTTGGGGGAGTCTTTTTGGATTTTCTACATTTTCCAGCTATAAGTCCACCAATGATTTGCAGGATACAAAGCATTTACTTAATAAAAAGTGGTAGACAGAAGCCTGAGTTTAATAAAAGCATATATGCTTTCAAAAAATATTTTGGCCATCTATATCATTTAATTCCCCACGAAAATTACTCTGCCACCAAAAGCTGCAATAAACAGATTTTGTTCCTTACTGCTAAATATTTATTTCCTGTGCACGAGTGGTCAGGAACATTGCCTGTATACAATCAAAGGTATAACCACAATATTGCTTTGAAGGGTTGAACATGGAGACAAGTGTGCGGTTAATAGCATAATATTTGTATTTTTAGTTGTATTGTCAGGAAACTTATGCTACATTGTAGGCAAGAAGAATTGATTAGATCTCAGCCTTTTACATGGTCTTTTATTTTCCCAGAATTTATCTTCTACTAACATTTTTTTCCCCAAGGCTACAAATACTTACTTGAGGACCTTGCGTATTCCCAGCACTCCTCTAGTCATTGGAAGAGATGAAAAAGTGAAATTACATGAATTCCCCGCTGAAGAGGCTTAGCAACCAACGGTACGTTCATCACAGGAGTCCCAGGAGGTAATGGTCTCTGAACAATGACGAATAGTGAAAGGAAAAAAATCATTGTGAAAACTACGTAGAAACCCAGAAAAATCTCTAAGATCAAAAAAACCAGAATAAGGTGGCAATACATACTAAGATTATCTGTGCCAAGACACAGATGCGTGTGATCACATTCCAGAATGAAACAGGCAGAAATGAAAACAGTCAGATATCAGACTACGTCTCTTTATTTTGAAAGCTGCTTTTGATAATGACATGTTTTTTTCAACAGTAAGTTTTTAGGGAATAGTAAATGGCAATCAATGACAAATTCAAAGCAGAGAAGTTTCCATTTTGATGATTTTCTGATTAAATCGTAGATTAATTTACTAGTCCACACCTGGAATTCTCTCCCAATGGCTTGGAGAGCAAAAGGCATCTGTGTGACAAAAAGCGGTACACGGGGAGTCTGAGATGAACACTATTAATCATACTCTGGGCAGAAAACGCTTCCTCTACCTCTTATATTCAGTAATTGGTGGTCTGTGAATTAAACTAAAAAAAGACAGATTAACAGGAGAAAAGACATAATTTTTACTAATGTCCGGGCACATGGGAGTTCACAGAAAAAGAGTGAAACTCAAAGAAGCAGTTAGACTTGGGGACTTATATACCATTTTAACAAAGGAAAGGAGGATTGGGCTTCAAGGGGTGATAAATCATGGGGAAGTGACAAGGAAACATATGAGAGAACTAATGAAGTAAGGTCTGTTTATGTAAACTCATCTTGGCGTCAACATCTCATTTTTGATAATAAGAGTCACTTTCCTTTTCCTGGTACGGGGTGGGCACATTTTATCCCTGCTTTTGGGACATTTATCCCCTGCTTTTGGCAGGTGAGGGAAGGGCAGAGAACTCTTCCTGCATTGGTTGATTCTCAATTGCCTTTAGCTCAAAATAATCCTTATGCCAAAGTGGCGCATTTTGACTTCACATAATAATGATACTCTCCATCTTGTGAGTACCCTTCGTGGGCCAGCCATTGCTCATATATTGGCCCCCGGTGGGGTTATGGGAGTGCCCTGGGCTCCTCTCTTAAGCTGTAGTGGCCTGAGGTTGGGTCTGTCCTAGGACTGAGTACCAGCTCTCAGGCAGTGGGCATTTCCACCTCTGATGAAACCTGTGCTCAGGCTGTGTTGACTTAGGGTGGGCACCTTTGTACCTCTGTACCTATCGGTATTGACTGATCTATTGATTCCAACTTCTGAGGGAGAAACCTAGAGACCAGGGTGTCTGGTAACAACAGTATGCTTCAGAGCTCATGGGCATCTGAACAACTCTTAAGGCAATGCTAGGAGGACTTCCATCTCTACCCCAGGAAAACACTCCCAAGTTAAGGTTGAAGGTAGAGAGTTAAGATCCTTCTCTTGGAGGTGGAGGGTATAGCTCAGTGGTAGAGTGTGTGCTTAGCATGCATGAGGTTCTAGGTTCAATCCCTAGTACCTTCATTAATAAAAAAAAAATCTAATTATCTCCCCTCCAAAAAAGAAAAAGCAGTGCGATGTAAAATTCAGTTTTAAAAAATGATGCTTCTCTTTTTCTCTCCTGACACTATTCATCCCTGTTCCCTGCATACAAAAGGAGTTTGTGAAATAATCTCTTATTCCTCTTTTTCTCCGCCCGTATTATTTGACCTTGGTTCAGAATATCCATTTTGAAACCAGGCTTGGGGACACCTCTGTCCTGGTTTCCTTAGTGACCAGAAGACACAGGAGCATCAGTATAATCACCACCAAACTCTGTCTTCTTTTTAGCTACTCCCAGGTCCCCACAAAGCCACAGCTCCTAAAAAAGACCCTGAACCAGCCACATGAACATTCCACTTACACTCAATCCAGTTTCCAGATCAACCCTGCAGGTATTTTAAACAATTTCTCCAAGACCTGCACGGCTCCCAAGAGGCAGAACTGGTACCAGTCCAGGTTATAACGTCCACTCGGATGCAGGGGCCCTCTCCCTTACCTCCGTCAATCCTCATCAGACACAGAGTGAGCTACCTAAGGCTACTCAAAGCCATCGTGGCAGGCAGAATCAACATCCTTCACATCTGGGCTGCCAGAAGCTCTTGCTTCTCATGGTAGATCTTGTCCACATCCACCATCCTGTTCTTTGGGCTGTTCTCCTCACCAGACTCTACTCACATCTTGGTTTGGTTTTGTTTTGTTTTGTTTTGTTTTGTTTTGTTTTGTTTTGTTTTGTTTTGTTGGTCTCCACCCACTACATCCAAAGCAGTGCCTGGCATGAGGTAGGTCTCAGAAAACTCAGGGTGAGTTAACCCAACAGCTTAGAACAGGACATAAATGCCACAGTCTCTGCTGGTCAGTTTTTGTCAGGGTCACATCCCCAGGAATTTGTGGCACCTGAAGGCTTTGGAGTCACACAGACCTCGGTGAAATCCCAGCCCTGGTGCTTATTTGATGGGTGACCTTGAGTGTTTTATTTCACCTCTGTAGACCTCATCATTCTCATCTGTACACATGGGGTGATGATCCCTTTCTCAAAGGGTTAAGAAGATAAGCAATTTCCTCTCAAGGTCTCCAGCACCAAGCATGTGTTAATAACTACACTTTATATTTCTAACCACCAAAGTGATCCTTATCATTTCACCTTTGTGGGTTTTCATTTGCAAGACAGGGAAGTACTTTTTAAACTTACTATTTTGAGATAATACCCAGAAAAGAAAAATTGCAAGAATATACAAAGAACTCTCCCAGACTGACCAAGTGTGAACACTCTTTCTCACTCTACGTATGTGATAGATACAATTTTTTTTTCTGAATCAATAGAGGAAAATTATAGGCATCATATTCCTTTATCCCTAAACCCTTCAGTGTAAATTTCCTAAAAACAAGGACATTCTCTTACGTCACCATAGTACCATTATCAAGGTCAAATTTAACACTGACCCAATATTACTCTCTAAGACGTCTATTTTATAACCTCACCAACTGTCTCAGTCATGTCCTTTACAGCCCCTGGTTCAGGATCCAACCCAGGATCACACATTGATGGTACTGTCAAGTCCTTTTACTCACCTTTGATCGGTAACTATGCCTCTGCCTCCGTTTTTTTTTTTTTTTTAAGACATTGACATTTTTAAAAGAATTCAGACCAGTTACTTCTCAGAACGTCCCTCAGTTTGGATTTTTCTGATATTTCCTTGTGATTTTAGCAGACACATCACGGAAAAGGTGAGTCCTTCTCAGGGGACACGATGTCAGTGAGCCCCAGGGTCAGTGATATTACCCTTGTTCACTTGATTAACATGTCTGTCAGTAGTAAAGTTGCTTTTTTCCCCCTTTGTTATTAATAAGCTGTTTGTGAGACATTCTTTGAGACAACATAAATATCCCATTTCCCATCAAACTCTCAGGGGCGCTGTTCTGGAAGCTTTTGTGCAAGAAGTTCTCTTGGAGATGCCACACTGAGAAATGTCTCTCTTACCTTGTTTCAAGAGGCATGAATTCTCATTTTCACCAATTTCCTGTGTGGGAGTATTGTGGTTAGTGACTGGGGAGGGGTGGGCGAGTTGGAGCCTTGTGATCCGGGAGCTCTCCATTCTGCACCAGCACCAGAGAAAGAGTGGGGCCAGGGGAGGCCAGGAGAGGAGCCCCCAGCAGCAGAGTGGAAGCAGAGTTAGAGACAGCCAGTGCCAACACGGCAGAGTGGGCCTCAGGTTCATGAATGCAAAGGCTTTCTTCCTCTGCCCCTACAATCGCACTCTCCATCCACTCCTTGTGAGTGTGTGAGAGCTCATGTGATCTGGGGGCTTTAGCAGACATGCACACAGCACTAAAGATTCCTGGGGCAGGAGGTGGGGTGGTCAATGTAAGAGCCATGCTTCACTCTTCTGCCTGGGGAATCCTTAGGCCAAGTCCCTGTCAAGTGAACAGGGAGAGGATCAAATCTGCAGTTTTCTGAACAGTATGGGAGAATCTGGGAGTCAGAGATTGTTAGAGATGGAGGCTGTGAAGGGTTTATCTTAGCATTCATAACCTTTCAGGAAGCTAGGGTCATTGCCAAATGAAAACTAGGGTACAACCCCACCAATGAAGTCAGAGGTAAAACCCTACACAAAATAGCAGCTCGTGGAATCAAACAATGTACAATTTGTACATCTTGACCAAGTTGGATTTTTCCCAGGAATGAAAGGGTCCTTCATCATTAGGAAAAACTATAAGCATAATTCACCACATTAATAGATTAATGGAAAAAATCAGATGATCCCATGGTCATCTCAATAGATGCAGGAACACTGATAAAATTCAGCACGCATATAGAGCAAGTGAAACCCTCCAAGTCTCCTGATGGGAGCGTCAACTGTTGCAACCACTTTGGAAAATGAGGTGGCGTTTTCTGCTAAAGTGGAACATGCACATAGTTTATGGTTTATCAGTTTACCCCTAGGTCTATACCTAACATATGTATTTCACAAAAGACATGTATTAGAATAGCCATAGCCAAATTGTTCATAATAGACTCCTGGGAGCTACCTAAATGCCCATCAATAGCAGGATAAAGAGATTCCAGTACATTCACACCATGGAATACACTACAGCAATGAGAACAGATGATCTACAATTGCACAAAAAGAGTGTAGATGAATCCCACTAACATAATGTTGCACAGAACACGCCAGACACAAAGACAGCATACTATAACCCCACTTATACAAGGGACTGAAAAACGGGTAAAACTAACCTATGGTATCAGAAAATTGGTTACCTCCATGGATTGAGTGATAAGATGGAAAGGTGGCCTCTCAGGAGCTGGCGATAAGCTTTCTCTTGGTCTGGGTGCTGGTCACACGATGGCTTCAGTTTGTGGAAATTCATACGTTTATGATACAGGCATTTTCCACGTATGTTCCTCGTTCCATGTCCGTTCCACTTCATTCTTAAGAGAAAAAAAGAAATCAGTATCTCTTCATGAAAAAGAATTCTTAAAGACGAGACTTCTTTAACTTGCAAATATAGCTACAAAAACCTACATCAAGAGGCATCATCAATGAGGAAATGTCAAAACAAATCCCTTTGAAATTAGGAGTAAGAAATGTATGCCTTCTCTAGCTATCTGGATTGTGGTGGTGGTTTCACAGGTGTGAACATCTGTCAAAACTCATCAAATTGTACATCTGAAATATGTGTAGTTTACTGTA